TGAGAAATATTTCTCTTTTCAGAGTCATGTTGCACGAGTTCGATCAATACCTGTATATACGATGTATTCGCTGATGGCTAGACGACAAGATTTGACTTACGAAACCTATCGAAATCCGGGAAAATGGACAAGAATAAAGAAGCCATGGTCAATGAAGTGTCGAAAACAAGTTTGTGCTTCACTTTGACCTCGATTGTGTACACGTATTTGCGACCAATTTGCCTGACAGTGAATTACAAATTACGGTCAAACACTATTTAAACGAAGTAACTGGCTGTTTGGGTCTTTGTATTCTTTTAGACTGACCTCAACGATTCCGGGTCCAATACGGCAAGCAGTCTGGTAGCATCGGTTTCCATTTTTCAATCTGATGCATAGGCGAGAACTACCTCGTAGTAGTCGATTCGTTATCACAGTCTATTTTTTGATTGTTGGTAAGCAACAACTAACGGAAAGGATAAACAGGTCCAATGAGATGACCGGATGTGACGAAGGCCATGGCCATAGGCCTGTGGAGGAAGATGNCGCGAGGGAGTGAATGACGGTCGTAGTTGAACGATCTTAGCAACTGTTTGGGTAAAACAACTGTCGACTTAGCAATTAATAGTACAACCAACTTCCCAGTGAGCGAAGGATGTCAGTCAGTATTGTGGGAATATTCCAATCACGACTCTTAATGACCCATTAAACATGTATGTTACCACCGTAAGCGCGATCAATCGACTGTGACAGGCGTAGATTTTTTGCACGATAAAATCGGAAAAGTGTGCAATTTTCAACTCTCATTTCATTGCACAACACGTTCACAAATGCACCCGCTCTCCGCCCTTTCCCACGTGCATAAGCCGGTTTCAGTCAGATTCAGTTATGTGATGATAGATGTGACCCCTTCTCGTCAATTCATTCCTTTTAACCAACCACCCAGTTCCACACGAAATATACTCAGGTTCCAGTTTTAATATCCTAGCCAAGATGAAATCGGTGGTAAGCGACTGCTTTACCTTCAATTTTAGTGAGTGACTGTTGAGTTCATAAAATTGAAAAACATGCATATATATATATTCATAAATTCGAACTGATGTGGATGAGACTTTGTTTCCCTTCTTTCAACTACTACTAACAGCAACCAACCTACATATGCCGGAGATTGTAAAGTCCATAACAAGGAACGAACCTCGCACTAGTCCTCAGTTAGCGTGATTATCGATGGGCTCTGGCTATGGTTAACAACTGACATCAACTAGCTGACCTTCCCACAAGCACCCCTAGTCGCGTAACCCGTAACCTCATTGTCAGATACATTCCATTCTCATTTTCATTTCAATCTCGACGCATTGGACGACTGTCTCGAACCCTTTTTACTCATTTTCTCCGCTTCATTCCACCACCTATCTCTAGACGCACCCTAGAGAGATACAACTCAGTCAACTGCGACCGTCCTCCAGACTTTCCGGTCGAATATCTCTGCAAATACGGTTGCAATCTCCAGTGGATTCGATCAAGTATACCCATCATTGGAGGACAGTAAAGCATTTAAATATATAAGATAAGCGACAAAGCTCCATGATCAAGTCAATACGCAGGGTTCTGTCTCTGTCCGACTGGCAGCAATTCAATTTTAATGCTCCCACCGCTGAAGGACATCGGACGCACGAAAATGTACTCCTTGCACTCTTCAAGTAAACTATTTATTGAGGAAATTCGAGATTTTTTCAACTGCCTGACCATCTGATACTGATGAACCAGATTTGTCAAAGAGAGCTAAGAGTTAAAGGATTTTTACCGATGGTAATTCCAATGAACAACCCATCATCCAGGTGAGCGGGGAAGGAGGGGGGGGGGCAGGAGTAGTCAATCACAATCGCAATCACAATCCAGAGTTCGAATTGCATAACCACTACCAGCTATATTTCTGCTTTCGTTGTATGCCTAGGAAGCGATTTACCTGCCCCCGTACCACTTTTCTGAAAGATGGTTGCCAAATGAATTATTCCAATAACGAGTGAAACTCAAACATTGAGGTAAGATTATAATGCCCTAGCGATAAGCATTTGTGAATCTTCATAAAACACGGTAATCGCGAGTGGTTTGGTCGGGTGATCAAACGTAAATACAACCCGGTGGTGATGTTGCGTTGCGGATCAGATGAAACTGTGTGTGTCTCAGTCTGGTTGAGATGGATCCAAAACTGTTTAGAGTTAATCGTATCAAACTGAGGAAATAAGAATTCGATTCCTGTTTCCAAAAAAAAATTGATTCACTCAGCCATGCGTGAGCAATTGCTATTCGAAAGATACCAAATTAGTTTTGTTTTATCACACGCACGATAGCTGCGTCCTAATCGATTGCATGTCCATGACGATGATGAATTGAATAGAATAGATCTCACAGAGGAGCTCTACTGGGTAAACTCTTGCACACCGAACTGCCTATATTCGCTGACCATATATCAACGTTCTAAGTAGATACTTCCGTGTATGGTCGAGGGGATTAACGGACGCACGGATCTCTGCTGGTAATACGAGAAGTAGGAAACCCAATACAAGAACAATCAATTTCCTTCAGATAAAAACGAATTCGGAAGCATTAGGGGGGGGGGCAAAAGTATGTTGCAAGCGCGCGCGCACACATACACAGACACGCAAAAACGCACGTCACCTGTGGTCACACAAGACGAATTGCTATCAGTTGGTTTGTTCGGGGAAACGCTGAGTCTTATTGCAATAAACCATAGCGCACAGCACTACTCACAGTCCATCAACTGGATGTGTCCACAGTGGGCACGTATAAGAAGGCATCAAATATGTCTATCGAGAGGTCTTCACTCTAGCGGTTTGGGTATACACACACAGATATGTAAAAAAGCGTAGTGTTAATATAAACGAATAACTGAAGTAGTTACGATGAGAAAAAAATGATTAGATAATAGATAACTGGCTTAGATAGCGCTCGGAGTGGAACCCTACACAGGATAAAGTCCAACACAGCGCAAAGCAGATTTGTAAAGCTGATAAAGGTTGAAAGTTGTGCGGACTGACCTTGGTTAGAACAAAGTGATTACGCATCAGCAGGTAGAGTGTGATGATCGCGTCTGCTCGGACTTGGACACGACTGGAAGCACACAAGGATAACAGATGATAAGTCGCCGCGGCAAATAATTCTGGACTATCTTCGAATAGATAACTAGGGAACTGGTTTGGGATCGTAAGAAAAGAAAAGGATTAAATTGATCGATAATTTTAATGTGAATTAAATGCATAGATAAGTTCGTTAGTAGCAATATGCAAAACTAGTCGATAAGGTATCGTTGTTGGGAAATTTTCAATACACAATGTACCACTGGAAACCCGGTAGCGCGGAGTACCATATATTGCTGTCAATAAAAAATAAAGATTAACTCCACACACACACACACACACACACACACACACAGTACTGTTGTCGTCGGACACAAGAACACTTCTTTTCCTCTCGGGTCCCCGTGTATGTGCAGTTTACCATTGCTACTTTCTGGGCTGAGCTTGTGGGTTCGCCCTGAGCAGTATCGGTATGACGCTGTGACACACACACACACACACACACACATAGGGCGAGTGCATATATTCTCATGCACAGATGCAAGGGACCAAAACAATATTGAACACGTGGCCCACTGAGCTTCAGTGATGCACAATCCACCACGTCGATTTCTCTGACAAAATCCCCACCCGACACCTGGCACATATTGGCATGCTTTGCCGTCCACTAGAGTCGGAGGGGGAGGGCAGGGGAGCTGGGGTAGAAGAGATGATGCTGATTATTGTCTCACAAAGATAGGATCCGTCAATCAGTCAGTCACCTGAAGACGAATTCAGTTGCAGACGGACATAATCGCAGGAACCGGTTGAGTGAAGGAGGGTGAGAGAGCGAGAGAGTGAATGAATAATAGAGGGATAAAGACACAATGGAAACAACCACCGAAACCGGTAAGTCGCCCAATAGGTCGTGGTCTGTAGACGTATAGGCCAATCATCAAGTGGTGAATTGTTTGCGGAAAAAGTTAGCAACAGACTGTCTCCGAAACGGAAATAGAGTAGAGTTCGTGTGTGTGTGTGTGTGTGAGAGAGAGAGCTGGGTGTGTGTGGAAAAGATACTATGGTTACTACGGTTCAAGTGGACGACCGACGTTATCGCCCGTAGATTAGCATCGGTGAAATCTGTTCCGATGTATTTCCTGTACCGTATACAGTACACAAAGTACAAGTGGATGAAAGAATAACCTCGTTCCTATCCGAACCCCAGTAGAGCATCTCAATGATTCCTGCTTCCAATGCGAGTAAGATAATAGTAACGGGATTGCCATACACAAAATTTGGAGAAAAATTCCGGTTGTACGAATGACGTGACCAGGAGGTCAACGAACAAATGATTACTCGAACATCAATAATAAAATGGCTACTGAGCTGCCGAACTGAGAAAGAGAAAGTGGGAGGGGAAAGAAGGATGGATCCGGGTGTCACTTTTCTACCAGACACGGTTATAATTGTTCCGGATCAAAACACGAACGAACCAGTGAACGTCGCCAATGGATTTCGAGTGTAGCAAAATACAACACAGTGTGAGCAATGGTTGTAAATCGGCCTTCAAAGTGAAACTATTTCTCTGATCGCCTTTCAACTCAACTATCAACCGAAGAACTCAGTGAACACTAGACGGCAATCAAGGAAGCGATCCAAATATGAATCAAAACAGCGTCAGATTTTGGTGCATGATGAAAGCCAAAACGATGGACATTCCCGACAGCGGCTGTCCTNCACTCACAAAGCTATTTCTTCTGATGCTCAACAATAGTGTCAGGAGTGACAGCGAGAAGTGGTAGGTAGGAAAATGTAGAAAGACGGAGAACACTGTAGCTATCCGCAATAATCGCAATGTTTTTCGTTTAGTTAGGGATACAAGACCAAGGAAAGTAGACTTAAGTGAGGTGATTAAGGAGTCCGACGGCATAGCGATTCATATTCAGCAATGCCATCTAGATCAATGGGCAGAGCATTTTAAGGCATAGTTCAGCTGGTCCTCGTTGACACAAGACTGACCTATTACTGCTTCAACTGGGCTGCTATACGGTGCAGAGACTTGGCCATTAGCGGACAGGATAAAAATAGTTTGTCCGTGTTCGAACACCGCTATCTACGCAGCACCTCAAGACAAGCAATGCTGAGGTTGCGCGTAGAGTTTTAGGTAATAACGGTCTTCCACTGGAGCAAATGGTCGATCTCCATAGATTACGCTGTTTGGGGCATGTCACCTGATAGGTTGCCATGGCGACCGATGTTTGCCAAGGCAGGTAGCGGTTTGAAAAAGATCAAGGGCGATCAAACGAGGATCTAGCATGAGGGTATGAAGACCCTAACCAGGAGACTGGGCCACATAGGTCCCGTTAGACTCCCTGGATGGGGACCTCGGGATGATAGTCACCGGTGTTTAGAGACACTGAGTGATAATGGCTGACTGTCGCAAACAGTGGCGCTCATGCATCTACTCAATATTCTTGCAACAGCAGTCTAAATAATGAATTCTCTATCTTCACTTTGACTCTGCTCTCAACACCCCAATCTTCAGTCTGCTCTTTGATTCAAATGGGAGGCGAACAGACAGCACCCAAGACCGGTGCACGAAACTGTGCATTGGTTGATGGTTGTAAAAACTGAAACTGAAAATAGGAATACCCACCTTGGTAATCACATGACGCAGACTGAGCAGAAATCGGCTGTGACTGGCCGTGCTCTGGTTCAAACTCAGCGCGAACAGTTGAACGCGCACGGCAAGGTCTAGCAAAGTACAAACCTCCGAGTTGTCATTCCGTTTCCGATAAGGAATCAAATAATTGAAGGGTGAGCGTAACAGTGTGAACAGAGAATGGCCCGGTTGACCGTGTGCGCTGTCATACTCCCATAAGCCCTGAAAAGTAGAAAAAATAAAAAGGGTGACGGATGAATGGATGGACAGAGCGTAATACCCGAGTTGACTGACTGTTTCGCCGACCGACAGTTCCAGTCCCATTTTGATAGACATGAACGCGCATTTGAGAACAACAAGGCACCACGAGGACGGGATATATATCTAGCCCTAGCCAAAGATTCAGACGGGTTGACACAGGCATATCAACGAAAAACACTTGGACCGGTATACAGACACATTAGTGTCTAGAAAGTGGGGCAAGGCGATTTTACTCATGCATTAGGTCAGACAAAAATAATGCATTCTCATCAGTCCGGAAACACCGTGCGAAATCCAATTTGTATGTTTAAGGACAAAAAACCGAGCGTAAAATCAACGATAAACAATGATACTCCCGTTCCTACGAGTATAATCAATATTCAGGAAGGGATACCATGGATAAATATTATGATAGTTCGCACTGGTGTGAGTCTAGGTTTTGTTCCAAACAAATCACGATAAAAATAACCCTAATATACCTAGGGAGTCGCATCCGGATTTGTACGGTGGTGAAATGGTACCAGGCTGCTAAAAGATGCTCTCGGGAGAGAGAGACAACAGGAGTATTCAGTTAGTCAGAAATAAACCCACAAGATAATGGGACGTTGCGTGCAAACTGCAGACCATTGCCCGATCACTGGGATTCTATCGTGCCTCACGCATCTCTTATGATAACCGACGGCAGTGGTGGCCCCGTGGTACAGTCACCAAATTAGTGCTCAGGAAGATGTGTGTTCAAATCCCACCACCACTTTGGGCTGGCTTTCCCCATTATGTGTTTAATGGCAGCCCTTTGACTGGCCGCTACCCCCGTCCTGAAAACTGTATAATCTAATGTACCAAACAGAATATATCATCGACATAGCGCTTGTACATGTTTATCCGAGTGATGACGGGTCTTAGGGTACTACTTTCGGTCTTGACCATGAATATATCTGCGAGTAGTGGACCAAGCGGAGACCCCATTGCTATGCCATCCTTTTGCCTATAAATGGTACCATCGAATTGGAACTGTACGTTCGCGGTGCAAAACGTGAGAAGTTCTCTACAGACACTGACTAGTATATCTACGTTGGTAGCATTCTTCGAGAGGAAGTGACAAATGTAGTCTATCGTTTCTTTGAGAGGGGCAATTGTGACCACTAAGAGGTCACGTCTAATGACAACATCTTTTGATTTTTCACATTCGAACTGCGTCAACAAACCTAAAAGAGCCCAGAAAGCTGTGTAGTGAAAACTTCCTCCTGATAGGTTCGAGTAGTTCGTCTAACCAACGCGTGGTAGGGTGAACCGGACATATCGAGAAAGAGCCGCATGGGGAAATAAACTCAGTCTGGATGAGACTGAATTTATTTCCCCATACAATGTAAATATTAAAAGCGAAGTAAAAATGAAAAAAAAGAAAAAATCCGGTGAGCAGGATCTCGTGCACAGCTGTTCTTGAGGGATTGGGACTAGAGTTTTAAGATGAGCTAGATGAGCTAGCTGCCCCGCTCCAGCCTCGAATATTGACATTTTCAGCTCTCGCTTTATTCAGAACACCAGCGTCATGAGAATCTAGTGAGTTGGATTTCCACAGCAGAACTGATTCAAAGACGACAAACCGCGTTCTGCAGCGAACGGTATTGTGATTCAAATACCCACATATTTCATAAGAAAATTCGTTGTGTATATAGCAAATGAAGCGTGAACTGAAAAGCTAGGAAGCATTAGACAGCTATTTCAATCTGGTTGGGTCTGATCAGCAGTGTGCGAATCCAGCGACCCAACTGGGTATTGAACCCGGGCCCTCACACATATATATTTATATGTATATATATTCTTTTAAAATGAATTAATGAAGAGGAACAATGAATGTCCTAACGGGAAACGGATCAAACGGTTTGAGATTAAAACACCAGAGGGAAAAATCAATAATTGTGTAATAAGAAGCAACCAACAACAGATGCTTACCCATATCATCTGGTCGAGGATTTCAGCAACAGAAAGAGCGGATTCCGTGGCCAGTCTATCAGACGGGGAGAACAGCTTATGTTCGCGCGACACCAATGCGGGTTGTAGGTCCATGGTGGAACCGACAGGAGTACAGCTGTTCGAACGATTTCGAAAACTGTCTCGTCTTAGTTGAGACCCCACGACGGATTCAGCCAATGCACCCAAACGGGGCGAGGAGAGATCACGGGACATTTCTTTTACTGCAATCCAACAACAACAATAAAACAGAAGTTGTTTAAAGATACAACAGTAACCCGGGTTGCGGTGATGGTGAGTAGCCAAACCTCCTAAAGCCTGTAAGTTACCAAATAAAAATCAACAAAACATAGATCAAAACGATCTAAACTTCACACTTCTACAGAATCGAAATCTTCGTGTATCATCAATCATAATAATAATAATATTAAATATTTTATTTCTCCTTTTGTTCACTGAGAACATAAATGTACAGTCAAATTTCAGAAAGGACGCCGCGGTCATACAAAGACTGTCAAACGAGGAGATAGAGAAATAGGGAAGATGGGTGGTGGTGGGATTCGAACTCAAGATAGCCAGGTAGTCATTTTGATGGCCGTGTCAAATAACCATCACAGTAACACAGTCTCAGATTTTTCAATTTTCCGCTAATGCATGATAACCGCTCGTTTCAAAATATGGCAAGCTCACCTTGAGATGATTTTGAACGATTCATTTGTAATGATGAGTAGAATCGCTTGTCCACGGTGAATTTGTTCGGACTGGGCGTATCTGATCGGGGATCGCCAGACAATAAACCACCCTGGAAATCGAAACATGAAGATCATGAAAATCCTTGTGAAAAATGATACGGCGATAGCCAAACTTTTTTTTTTGAATGAAAGGGACAAACGAGTCGAAAGTTTATTTTCACATTGTTCTGATCTGAGATCGAAATTCGGGACAAGATGATATCAGAATGAAAAACGGACTGGCTAGACTATGGACCGGAATTGGACAGCCACAAATTCACTTAACTTAAGTTAATTGCGATTTTTCTCAACGATCTTCACAGATGAAAAGTGTTCATATGTTGGCGAAGTATTATGCGAAAGAAGTATCCGAAAGCCTCAGTACGGTCGGGAGTTTTGATGTCCCAGCTTGCGGTTGGTCATCCCTCCCTTGCACCTCGCAAAATGCTCCCACATGAGCAAGCGTCTCAAATAGCCTCTTTTGAGGAAACCCTATTCACTACCTTCTCACGGGACGGAGGTGTTTTCCCACCAAAGTGGGAGGACGAAATGTCAACATCCAGGGCTATAACTGGGTTGGTGAACCACTGGCAGTTCACCTCAGGGAGTAGGCTAAACCCCTGATTCCAAACGAACCAAGAGGAGGCATACGAACCACGCATACACATGGTTGTGGCAGTGATCGATTGGGTATTGAGGTGTATTAGGCACCTTGGACGTTTGACTCCATCTCGAGGGCGCATGATTCGATTAACTGGACACCGCCCCTCAATGGATTGTGGTTTACACGCACCGCCTCGCTCACCTGCAGGTCAGGTTTTGGCTAGCCGAATGCTCCGGTTATAGTCACTAAGAAAATTCAGTTGTTTTGGCCTGGATGGAGGGGGACAGGGAAGATTGGAACACTGAAAGCAGTGTCACAGCAAAAAAATAACAAATGGGAACGAATCGAGGCTGTTTCAAAGAAGAGTGATGCGGGGACATACTCATGAGACCACATCTAAAACCACATTTTACTTAGTCGAATTGACAGTGCCCGATAAACATGAATTGATACTGATGCCCCCCCCCGCATATCCAGGGTTATTTTTTCACTAAAATACAAGCTATTTATATTGTATCATAGTACTATACAATCAACACCCTGAAGGAAATCCCCTAAAAAACGAATCACGTTACCGCACAAGAATTTTCGTGCTAACCTGGACGCTAGTACATGTAAAATGGTGGCCGTAAAAGTGAAGAAACATTCCTATCGGGTAGTGTAATCACCGGTCGTCTAAACTCTGACATACACGATCGTTTCTTACTCGAGCATAGAGAGAGAGAGAGAGTTGGTGATGCGGACAGGACACTGTAAAAAAGTGAACAAAATATTAAAAAATTGTACACTTTGTTAGCTTTCGAGAAGTTTTATTCTGTTATCTGAAGATCAGCCATCGTGAAACCTGGTGTGTACGTGTGTGTGGCCATATGTCTTACGAAATCGGATGGGTACCCAAATGTGAAAGGATCCGAGTTGAAGCTCCGGTGGCGTTGTAGCTCGTAGTGTGCAGTGATTATCACTGAAAACAATACCTCAACAAACATGAATTGGCGATTTGGTTCGGCCATGGCACGAGCTGGTTGGCACAGTGGTAACACACACCCTTCATGCGATAGGTCCGGAGTTCAGATCTCGGACGGGATGATGGATAGGTACTACTGATGAGCTCTAATAAGAGCGAAACTCAAGTCTAGTGCTCCCGAGTGTATGGTTGAATCGATGAGCTGAAGATTGTGCATGAAGGTGAAGTTCGAAGGATAGTCAACCAAATAAATCAATATCCATTATCCCC